CCGGTTCTCTATTAAAAGGAGGCCTTAATATCCCTTTGTTTCCAATAGGACACCTTTGCCACGGGAGGGTGGGACAAAAGATTTCATGCAAGTTCTTTCCATAAGCACGTATGACTATTTACGGAATACATGCCTACATTATATTTATGAACTGGAGCTAGTGCCATATCGCCCTAGGTTATGACTGTCACATGATGAATATCATCCAACAAATTACTGATCCAATGCCTACGATTTTCCTACATATTGATCTTGCTAAGTTACTACTGCTACTATTACTGTTGCACTTGCTACAAAACTACTGCTATCACTATTACCGTTACTATTGTTGTCGCTACTATTATCAAAACTATCATACTACTTTGCTACTGATAACTTTTCTGCAGATAATTAATCTCCAGGTGTGCTTGAATTGACAACTCAGTTGCTAATACTTGCAAGTATTCTTTGGCTCCCCTTGTGTCGAATCTATAAATTTGGGTTGAATACTCTACCCTTGAAAACTATTGCAGTCCCATATACTTGTGGGTTATCAAACGTCACATGCTTGAGTGTTGTATTGCAACATCTTCAATTCTTCCGCGGTTGCTTCACGATCCGGTTCCTTACCATCCTCAAAGAATTCACCTGCAAGCCAACACGAACAACAACCCAAACGGTGGGGTTATGACCAAGAATATACATTTCCATCTTATGTTTCTAACTAGTAAAGTTTGTACCATCGAAATATGAACCTCTATGGTGATAGTTATCCTCACTAGACGCCATACTCTCCTAGGTTGTGAAACCAATGCAATGGAGACCAAAGCTTTGGTACCATTTGTAGGATCGAAAGTATGTCTAGAGGGGGTGATTAGACTGCTTGACCAAATAAAAACTTAACCCTTTCCCAATTTTAGTTGTAGGCAAGTTTTAGAAATTCTACCAAGTCAAGAACACCCTACACATGCAAGTCTAAGAGTTGAGCAGCGGAAGTAAAGACTTTACATATGATTGTAAAGGATGGATCCGAGAAATCAAACACAATGAAGACACGATGATTTTTGTCGTGGTTCTGATAGGTGGTGCTGTCGTATATCCATGTTGATGGAGACTTCAACCCACAAAGGGTAGTGGTTGTACGAGTCCAGGGAGGGCTCCACCCACGAAGGGTCCACGAAGAAGCAACCTTGTCTATTCCATCATGGCTTATGCCCACGAAGGACTGGCTTCACTCGGGTAGATCTTCAGGAAGTAGGAAATCTCCTTGCCCTTACAAACTCCTTGGTTCAACTCCACAATCTCTTCTAGGCTCCCAAGTGACACCTAACCAATCTAGGAGACACCACTCTCCAAAAGGTAATAGGCGGTGTTGTTGATTGTTGATGATGGACTCCTTGCTCTTGTGCTTAAAATGATAGTCTCCTCGACACTCAATCACTCTCTCACAGATTTCGCTTTGGTAGGAGAGGGGAATGAATGGAAAGCAACTTGAAGAGGCTAGAAATCAAGATTCAAATGGTAGGATTGGAATGTCTTAATCTCAACACATGAGTAGGTGGTTCTCTCTTAGAAAATGAGTAGTGGAAGTGAAGTTTTGTTCTGATGCTCTCTTAGAGAGTAGGTGGCAGTGGAGGGGTATTTATATCCTTCACCCAAAATCCAACCCTCAACACTTTCTACTCATTTCGGTGACATCGACCGGAATTCTCGGTGAGATTGACCTGTGCAAAAGTAATGAACTTTTGGCTTTTCGATGGGACCGAAGTGTGAGTCTCGGACAGACCGAAAGTGTGGTGACCTAGATTGGATGCCGTTTTGGTAGTTCCGACCGTTTCAACTCGGTGACACCGATGTGAACGACTTCACTACATAAACTTGGTCACATCATCTCGGTGGGACCGATCGCAATTTTGGTTGCACCAAAATTCTAGGGTTTTGGCTTGGCAGTGTATGTGATCAACTCAGTGGAACCAAGATAGGCATTATCGATGGGACAAAGATGAATCTTTAGGGTTTTGTACAGATATGATGTGGAGAAATGTTTGAGGATTTTTGGAGCAATATCACGAAGCACTTGAGCAATTGAGTCATGATCAAAACCTCATCCCCTTTTAATCGTATTGGCTTTCCTGTGGACTTAATGTGATCTTGGATCACTTAACCAAAAATGTAGAGTCTTGAAGCTTTGCCAATGTATATCCTTTGCATTTTGAGGGTCCACATTCTCATGTCCTTGCCATGCCAATCATTGATCTTTTGTTTGAAATCTATTACCAATGAGCATTAGATCAATGATGTATATGTTATTATGAATTACCAAAACCACCCGGGGATTAGTTGCACTTTCACCCAACTTATGAAATATTGTCATATCACACCGCCAATATGTTGCCGGTATTTTTCCATAATGTGTTAATGTTTACTTGCGTCCTTAGATCATCTCCAACGCCGACTCTCAAATTGCCTGCAACTGTCTGGACCGCGTGGCCCGGACGTGTTCTGCCATCCAACACGGTCTTGTATTAGTCTGTAGGCCGGTTCGGACATGCTTTTCCCTGGAAACCGAAGACAAAGTGAGGGGAGGGGGGATTTGCAGGCGTCTGGACCGCTGCCACGCCCGCTCCTGACTACCCAGGCCCATCGAAAACCCTCCTCCCTTGCCCGCGTACATTCCCGCCGGACGGTAGCTGCCCGCGTTCATGTTGCTGTAGAGCGGGCACTCTTGAATGACACCGGCCCAGAGCGGACGCGGCCTTTCACTTGCGTCGGCATTAAAGCGGCGCGTGTCTGAGAGCGCCATCCGCTTCATGTCATATTCAATGCCGGAGAGACGTTTATTGTACGGGATGGGACAGATATCTACCACGCCTCATTCAATGCCCGTTCGTTTGTATGCCACCATTAAGTAGGCTCGTTGGTCGAGGAACCAAGTACGGCGCCGCGCAGATGCACCCAGACACTCGGGCTCACTAGAATTCATTGTTTAAAGGCAGCCACACCCGACTAAACTCCACACCACAACACTTCTGCTCCACATCCTCCTCCATTGCATCGTATCCACCATGACCGCAAGCTCAAGCGTGATGCGGAAGAGCCTATCACCAACAGGCCAGGAGTCGGACTATGAGGCGATGGGGCGTGCCAAGCTCACAACCTAGCAAAAGGGCTCACCACAGTGCGTCATCTGCTTGGCACATAAGGAAAACTTCCCAAGGACCTCGAAGGATCCTAGTTGGATATAACCGACCCGAGGATCATGTAAACCCTAGTCTCCCCCTATATAAGGCAAGGATAAGGCATGTTAGGCATCTAATCTCATACCTAGTGATCCCTGCGACCTCACCATGCATTATACACCATATACTAGCTCTGATACAAGGTTGTTCGTCATCAGTACAATATATCATGAGTAGGGGGTTCCCTCATCGTGAGGGCTTGAACCTGGGTAAACTACCTTGTGTGAATCCCATATGGGCACCCTTCTATGTGTGAGCCCATCAAGATTACAACTAGAATTATGAACCGACATGAGGTGTCTACAAAGAGTTCGTCTACTCATAGTCATCTCAAATGGTTTGGTTGTTCCCTCATGGTCAAATACATCTTTAGTATTGATGCGACTTATATTGAAGAAACTAGGGATGACACCTTTTTAATGTTCCACTACCAATTTACAGGTTACAAAATTTACTTAAAGAGTCAAAATTACATGGTTCCTTGTCGCCCTAATCCGATAAAGATGGGTAAGAACCCGTTAAATCCTACTTTCATGTTTATAACACAACAACATAATTGGCTCGATGCTCCAGCACAGCCTCACCGCCTACCCCTATCACATGTGGCCCACAACCTAGTCCGAGGATATCTATACCCCAAACCTCATCATGTCGAGGTCGATCCCAGCACCATATGGTGGTTCCACAATGTATCCCACTCTCTCCATTGAGCTGACCCATTAAGGAGGTTTATCCATTTTGTTTCATTATCTTTTCATCCTTTTCCATTCTTTTACTTTCACCTTTTAGTTTCATTTTCCATTATTATTTTAACATTTTTGTAGTCATCTTTCCTCCCTTGTTTTTGCACTTTCACTTTCATATATTAGGATTTTTGACGATTCAATACTTACAAATTAGCATCACGGAGTTCTTTTTCTTCAAAATATATGAGCAAATTTCATGAGGTGAGTAAAATATTTCCAAAAAAGGCTTTTCATATAAAATGATAATGTCCATAGAAAGACACTTTTCAAGTTTTTTTCTAAGGTCAACTTTTAGAAGTTGCATGAATCATTTCTCTAAAAGGTGTGTACATGTTTTTAAAAGGAAATCAATGAGGGAGGCCGACAAATCGGGTTTTTAAATATAAGAAACCAAGCTCGTGTCCATGAGGATCTGGATGGCTCAATTGTACATCCACTCCCTAATCAAGTGAGCTAGGATCACTTCTTCCGGTATGAACAATTTTATTTGACATAATTGAATACTTTTATATGAGTTGAGACATATTTCAATAGAAAAACTTACAATAGATTTGTTTTATGTGGTTAAACAATTCTTATAAGTTGTATAAACCTTTTATTTGACATGAACTTTTGTTAGAAATGGTGGAAAATATTTCAAATATATATTTAGTTTTATTCTTCAAAATACTCTTATTACATAGTAGATTATATTTATTTTAAAAGTTAGTATAAATTATTATTTGTTTGTTCTCTAATTTTTTTTTTCAAAATACTAACAAACCGGCCCATTTGACTTCTCTAGCTCCCAGAGGCGGCAGGAGCTAGGTAAAGCCCAGTTATATCAGCACAGGTGGGGGCCTATTAAACTAAAATATCTGGCCCATATGTCAGCGCAGGCACGGAAGAGCCCGTGAGAAATCAAACCAGCAAAAAGCACACCCAGATCTCGTGCGCCTCCTCCTCATCCCCTTCCTTCCACTTGACAGGTCTCTCCACACCCGCGGCTGCAGTCCACACCCAAACCCTAGCCGTCGCGTCGGCAGCTTCCACCGCCATGGACGACCCCGCCGCCGCAGCCACCGCCTCCGCCACGGAGGTTGGTGCGCCCGCATCACCGCCCCCGCCGGCCGCCGAGGAGGCCGATCCCTCGGCGGAGGCGGAGGCCGTCCCGGAGGCGAAGAGGTGGCCCGGGTGGCCGGGGGACAACGTGTTCCGGATGGTTGTGCCCGTGCTGAAGGTCGGGAGCATCATCGGGCGGAAGGGCGAGCTCATCAAGCGTCTCGTGGAGGAGACCAAGGCCAGGGTCCGCGTCCTCGAGGGCCCTGTCGGCGCCACCGAGCGCATTGTGAGTACCCACAAACTTTAGCCAGCGTTTGCTCTTTCCTGCCAGGATTCCGTTATTGACTAGTTGGGGATTGAAATACCTGATGGTTAGATTGATTGGCACTTTGGAATTACAATTTTCTCTGTTCTACATGTCCAATTGGTGCTGCATGTTAGCAATGGTCGCTGGAATCCTGGTAAATAGGTTGGTGGTTAATGTGCTTTGACATAGCTCGTAGTGTCTGAGCCTACAGTGCTTCAAGTGCGATTTCGATTCGCTGATACATGAAATAGACATAAGGGGATGTGGGAGGCTGGAGGCATCGAACCAAATTGACATGCTTGGGTCATTTTTTGATTGCACGTCAATTTCATCTAATATACGACTGCCATTTATTGTGGTGAACCGTACATGTACTTGCTAGGGTGGTGTGTTATATCTTAGAGAAGGGGAGATGTGAAAAAAAATTTATAGCCACTGACATCTATACTACTATACAGTGTACCAGTTTTGAATGAGAGCTAGCCATCAATCCTAACAATTTATGTCCTAAATCCAAAGGTTGAAAGTAGTGGGATTCGCAGTGAACAGTGCATGGTTGTTGCATCCACCATGTTCTAGAATGTATGCTAATCCTTCTCAAGAGACGTGGCCCATACTGATTCCTCTTGGGCCAGCCATGTTGCAGCTTATGGTTGGCAGTGAGTTGAGCCCAAAAAAGTTGGTTTTGGGGGAGAAACATAAAGTAAAATTAAATTTCATTTTTTAATTCTTTTCTTTATTAACATTTTTTGCGGGATTCTTTGTTAACAAATTGTGGAGATTGCATATGTTAATTCCGATTTTCTTTATAATACAATTTATTTCTGCATCTATAAATCAAGATGTTTTTTGCTTCGAATCTATTAGCAAGTTTATGTTTTTTCCTACCAATAATCTCCCATAATGTTAAAATGTGCATTGCATGTGCATACATACTTGTATTTATAGGTGGCCCTCATAATATGTTCCTGAAAAGTCAGTCTTTTTTTTGCTCAGTGTTGTGCACAGAGAATTGTTTTGTATACCCATTCCATCTATCTATTACTCCATATTCCCACAAAATAGATTCCCTAAGTTTTGTCTTAGAAAGTTTGACCAAGTTTATAGAAAAAATATCAAACATCTATAACCAAATAAATCTGCTAGGAATACATATTTCTTGATGAATATATTGATATTGATTTTGTATTGTAAATGTTAAAATGTTTTCTATAATCTTGGTCAAATTTAAGAAAGCTTGACTTATGACAAAACTTAGGGGATCTATTTTGTGGGAAGGAGGGAGTATTGTGTGAATTGATTGCCGTTCTTTTGGTCGGATAAAGTTGAATAGCGAACTACTCCCTCCGTCCCATATTAATTGCCACTCAAACTGCTGGATACATCCGTTTGAGCGTCAATTAATATGGGACGGAGGGAGTATTTAACTATTTATGTACTTGATGGTGTAAATCATTTGTATTATATTCTTCTGTTAGTGGGTACGTTTTATTACTCTTGCATGCCTGATGATCTCCTTTGGATTCACTGAGTAAACCATGGCTCTTGGACATTCCAGGTTTTGGTGTCTGCAAAAGAAGATCCGGGCTTGGAGCTGCCTCCAGCTGTGGACGCTCTGATTAGAGTTTTTAAACGTGTCAATGGAATAACAGATGGAGCTGCTGAAGGTACCCAGACAGCTGCTGCACCTGGTGTATGTGCTGCCCGGTTGGTGGTTCCTGGAGCTCAAGCAATTAACCTCATTGGGAAGCAAGGTGCTTCAATTAAGGCAATCCAGGAGGGCACGGGTGCTACAATAAGGGTTATATCAGTAGGTAATATGTCCTTGGCTGATGTATCTATATTGATACACAAATGCTTTTGTACATCAGTTGATTGTCTTGCCGTTGGATTTCTGCTCTAGCATTTCTATTAGGTGTTCCATGTCCCTCCCAGCACAAAAAGAAATGTTTATCATACTCCCTCTAATCCATAATGTAGTGCATTTTTTTTGAAAAGTCAAACTTTGCAATCTGACCAGGTTTCTAGAGAAAACTATTTGTACCTACAGTACAAAATATATATAATATGAAAATATGTCTTATGATGTATCTAACGATATGTATTTGGGTTCATGATGTAGATACGTTTATCTAAAAACTTGATCAAAGTTCGCAATGAGGTTAATTTGAACTAAAACCATGACAAGAATTATGGAACAGAGGGAGTACATGTTAAGAATGGACTGTATTATAGGTCACGGAAGATATGGAAATTGGAATGAATTTAAACAAGGAAAGAACATCATTGCATAGAATGGTGAAAGTTCATATTTCTACACGTGTGAAGTGTGCACACATTATGCACTTTAAAAAGCATATGCTTATTTGTGATATTATTTAATAGCTTAATATCCATTATTTTTTCTGTTGTGTTGTGCGAAGCTATGCATAATATATACTATATGACTCATCGTGGGTATAAATTTGTGTAGATGAGCGAGATCGGCCTTTCTATGTAACTGACGATGAGAGGATAGTTGAGATACAGGGTGAAACAGAGAAAGTTCTAAAAGCACTGCAAGCAGTTTCTAATCATCTCCGGAAGTTTTTGGTTGACCATAGTGTACTTCCATTGTTTGAGAAGACTGTAAGCACATATATTTTAATGCATGCTATGCTTCGCCATATTGTTTCTAATACATATCATTTCCTATTCTTTAATCAGAATGCCCCAGTAAGTCAAGATCGCAGTGCTGAAACTTGGAATGATATGCCACATCATTCAATTGTTTCTACACAAGTAAATCAACAACCTGAAGTGCGTGATGAATATGTTCTTCCAATGAAAAGGGACCATTTGTATCTTGAACGGGAACCGCTGGTAGAACATAACATTCATCGCTCAGGTGTGTCATTATATGGGCGAGATCCTGCCTTGTCAGCATTACGACCTTCTGGAATGCACGGTGCTGGCCCTCTACTTACACAGGTATGTCTTTGCCTATGTTTCTGCATGTACTCTCTTTTCTTCCTATAATCTTCCTATAAGATATTTTGTTTAATAATAATCCGTGGGCTTTCTTTTTTTTAGTCAGAGTGTCCAACTTCCATTCATGTTCAGTGTGCATCACATCCATCAATCTATTCTTTTTAGGAAATAACACAATGAGTTGTTTGCAAATAGAGCCTAACGTTTGTTTACATTGAACTGTTGCTGATAAGAACAAATGACATGCAGATAACACAAACCATGCAAATCCCACTTACCTATGCAGAAGATATCATAGGAGTCAAAGGAGCAAACATTGCATACATACGGGCTAACAGTGGTGCTGTTGTCACAATTCAAGAGAGTTTGGGAAGCCCTGATGATATAACTGTTGAAATAAAGGGGACATCGTCCCAGGTACAATCTGCTCAACAGCTTATCCAGGTAATAGACATCGCACATTTTTTTTCTTGTTCAAAATGCCATCTTTTAGCAAGATCGAAACTCTCATATACTGTCCTCTTCATTCAGGACTCCCTGGCTACGCACAGAGAACCTGTGAGGAGCAGTTACCCAGGAGGATTAGATCCGTTATATAGGTCCAGCTACCCGTATGGCAGCTCGGCCTACCCGTCATCATCGCTGCCATCTTATTCTAACATGGACGGGAGTGGATATTCATCGTCAGGTCTTGGTGGTTACGGTTCCACTTACCGCTACTAAGATGGTTGCTGTTTGCCATCAAGCTTGCGGCCACCCTGTCTCCACTCCTGGGTCATCGTTGTGTATGTCAGCAATAGTTGCTCTGCTGGCTTCATGTTCCTCAGGGTGGTACTATTATAGTCGTATCGAATCGGGGTGTGATTTAGTGTCTACTTGATTTGTAGATGTTCTTATTTCGAGGAAGTCTGTTCTAGTCTTTTTGTGTGCTGACTGATTTGATGATAATCTGCCTGTGCCGAAAGGAATGTAATTCAACGTGTGTTCATCGGTGGGTGCAATGTTTTTCAGTAGCGCCACTTGGTGAAACAGAGCAGTATAACAGCCTCGTCCTATGGCGACATTGTGGCTTGCTACAACAATAATCACTAATTTTAAATTGCCCCCAGGATCGAATTGCACATTGCATGCCCTTAAATTACATTTAGTTTTGCTTGATTTTTTTTGTAAATCTAACTCCATTTCAAGACATAATTTCCATTATGGTTGGCCAAGACAAGGCTTTTTAACCAACAATTATTCTATCAATACGTAATTTATGTGACATAAATTTGATGTCACTAAGATTCACATCATATCTTATGTGGTATAATATGTTTGGTCAAAGCTTTGTCTCAACAAACATATTACACCGCATACCGGCATACGTACTATACATAAGATCAGTACGTACAAGTATCTATTTTAAGAATGGTGGCAGTACGAACTTAGCATGGATATGAGAGAGAATCAGTTTTTCGTTTCCCACAAGTTTTTTTTGCCCATTAACCTCAAAGATAGAAAAGAGAGCCATCAATGAGAGCCTTCTTTGAGAGCAGTTTTTGCTATATAGACATCGATCAAGTAGACGGCTGCAATTTGTTAGTATATCAAACATTGACTGCCGGTGCATATCTCGTCATATCTTCGCTGCAAGCGGTGGGTTTCTATGGAGGGGAGGAAATCGGAAACTGTAAGATAGACAAATTTATTAACTGAAAACACTTGCAACCTAAACAACCAACAGTCCAATTCATCCAAACACAACCATACAACATGCTCAAACATAACAATTATCAATTACTCCCTCCGTTACAAATACAAGTCTTTTAGAGATTTTAGTAAAGACTACATACAAATGTATGTAGACGTATTTTAGAGTGTAGATTTTTTCATTTTACTCCGTATGTAGTCCATATTGGAACCTTTAAAAAGACTTATGTTTAGGAACGGAGGGAGTAGATCGTATGATTCTCACTTTAGATCATTGGTATTGGGTAATATGCAAACGAACGACAATATTGTCTCCAGTGACACCTTGCGGTCAATATCGGTGACAAACGGCATAACATCTCATTGGGGACTACAATCTTTGCGCTAAGTTCTCACCAACCTGGCAACCTCCATGCTAAGGATGTGTTTGTTACCGTCGCCAAGGGCTCCCTGCATCCGCAACCCTAATGCCTACCTTAAGCAACTACCACCCTCCGCAGTCGCTTGGGCGCCAAGAGAACCATGTCACAAGTATCTTCCTATGATGATCTATTGAATACCCCTCTTAAGATTTTGCCTAGCGCGACAACAATAGAGAAAAGATTGATGGATGACCAATCCATTTGCTCCCACAACATCGTCGATGTTGGAAGCTTGGGGACGATGTCGATGTTAGGGAATAGGGGCAACCATCAGAGATGTGAGGATAACTATTATGATTTTTGTGCAGATGGATTGACATGGAGCTTGTTAGGGGTTGTTAGAGCAGATGAGGGTGGTACATCAAGAGGTCACTTGTCGGCGCACACGAGCAAAGGTGATGGTAGTGCGCAGATGGCTGGGCGTAACTCTTGCACACGATCACAAATTTTGCTTTAATAGTAAAAATAAACACCCCCCTAAAAAGTATAAATAAACTATAACCAATGCCCTTATAATAGTAAAGACGCGTAACACGTATCAAAGTATCTTTGTTATTTTTTTACTTATCGTCATACTTTAATTACTCTCTTCATCCCGCAATATAATACGTTTTTGCAAGCTATATTATGGGACGGAGGGAGTATTTCATTTATTATTCGTATGAGGTGGCAGAGACTAGAGACTGTGTGAATATTTTTTTCCCATGTGCCCGCATCCTTTATTAATTTAGGAAAGACAAATGTCCAATTTCAAAGTTTCAGATAAACCTTAAAAGTTTCAGGCGTGAACATATATGGTACAAAAGTGAATTCGTGGCCAAATGTTGGGCACAAGCCGGAGCACAGTGGCTTAGGGCATCTCCACTAGTCCCCCCAAGAAGCCCTCCCCAGGCACTTTTTCACCACCGGCGAGGAAAATTCCTCCCACTCGTCACCCCAAGGGCACAGATTTCACCGGATTCGAGGAAAAATACTGCCGGCACGCGCAGGCGAAACCCAGCCCCCCGGGAGGCAGCTGGGGACGCCGGTGCTCTCATTTTGCATGCAAATGGCCCACTTTCAGTGTCCCAACACCCTCTCTCCTCTCTCTCTCCCTCTCTTTTCTGCAGGCCCCACCCACGTGCTCACACTCCTCCATCCCCCACCCACCGAAGCAGGCGCGCACGGGACGGGACGGGCGCGGCGAGCAGGGCGCCGGAGCTGGGGCACGGGCGAGGCGTCACGGCGGGCGGGCGCCGGAGCTCGCGGGGAGGGAGGGCGTCGGAGCTGGGGCACGGGCGAGGCGTCACGGCGGGCGGGCGCCGGAGCTCGCGGGGAGGGAGGGCGTCGGAGCTGGGGCACGGGCGAGGCGTTACGGCGGG